AATTTACTGAATACATTTATTAGTTCTAACAGTTGTTTTTTTTTTCTGGAGTCTTTAAAGATTATTATATATAAGATCATGTCATCTCTAAACAGAGATAATTTTACTTCTTCCTTTCCAATTTGGATACCTTTTATTTCTTTCTGTTTCCTGATTGCTCTTGCTAGGACTTCCAGTACTATGTTGAAAAGAAGGGGTGAGAGTAGGCATCATTGTCTTATTCCTGATCTTAGTGCAAAAGCTTTCAACTTTTCACCATTGAGTATGGTGTTAATTTGGGGTTTGTCATATATGGCTTTTATTGTGTTGAGATCTCATTTTTACTATTTTTAAGTGTATAATTCAGTGGCATTAAGTACATTCCCAGTGTTGAGTAATCATCACCACAATCCATCTCCAGGACTTTTTCATTATCCCAAACTGAATCTATACCCATTAAACAATAACTTCCCATTCCCCTCTTCCCCAGCTCTTGGAAACTTCTATTATGTCCTCTATAAATTTGACTTATAGGTACTTCATATAAGTGGAATCAAACAATATTTTGTCATTTTTATCTTGCTTATTTCACTTAGCATATGGTCCAAGGTTCATTGATGCAGTTCATATCAGAATTTCATTCCTTTTTAATGTTGAAAATATACCATTTATGTACATACCACATTTTGCTTATTTATTTATCTGTTGATAAACATTTGGGTTGTTTCTACTTTTTGGCTATTATGAATAATGCCGCTATCACCATTGGTCTACAAATATCTGTTTGAGTCCCTGCTTTCAATTCTTTTGTGTATATACCTAAAAGTAGAATTGCTGAAGCCTACCTAATTGTAATTAGTTTTTATTATATGGCCTCCTATTAACTTGTGGATTTCTTGACATTAGGGCTTCTACCTTAGTCTTTTTTATCAGAGCTGAGAACAATACTTGAACATAATAGAAATTGCACCTTATGAGGAATTTTATGAGGATAAGGAAATGGAGGAACCATCTTCTTCTCACACAGTGAGAAGTCTAATTACAGTGGATAGGGGCTGCTGGAACCTAAGTGCCTATTGCTTGCTCTAAGTCTCCCCAGGGTGAGCTCAATGGCAAGCCGAAACATAACCACCAGCAGTGATTTTCCTAGTATATTTCCTAAAAATCACATATTCTCTATTTAAATAATTGAATCTTCAACAATGTATGATCTGATAATCACTCTCACTAAAATTAAGTTTCATGAAAACAGGAAAGTTTTTACTTTCTGTGCTTTGAGTACATCAGTGCCTGGCATATAGCCAAAATGTATTTGTTGAATCAATGAGTCAATGAGTCAATTGATAAATTTATAGTGGCTTTTGCATATGGAGGATCTCCCCTCACTATTGCCACATGAGGAATCCCCAGATGAAATATAGATGATGGTGCTTTCTTGTCCTTAAGTTATTAATCTCCCCTAGAATCTGGTAATATCTTGTAAAACTAAAGTATGATGTCATGACCAGGAGGTGAACACTGATACAATTGACCAATGGTATTCAGATGTCTCCAATTTTACTTGTACTCATGTTTGTGTGCATGTATATGTGTGTATTTAATTCTATATAACATTATCACATGTTTTGTATATCCACCATCAGAGTTAATATACAGAACCGTTCTATTACTACAAGGATCCCTCATATTGCCTTTGTATAACTACCTCCACCTATGCCACATATCCACCCCCATCCCTAACCTCTGGCAACTATCACTTTATTCTCCATTTCTATAATTTTATCTTTTCAAGACTGTTATAAAAGTAGAATCATACAGTATATAACTCTTTGAGATTGCTTTTTTTCCACTTAGAATAATTCCCATGAAATTCATCTGAATAGCTGCATGTATCAATAGTTTGTTCTTTTTCATTGCTGAATGGTATTCCACGGTGTAGCTATGGCACAGATCGTTTAATTATTTATTCTTGAAGGGAATCTGTGTTGTTCCCAGTTTGGGGCTATTACAAATAAGGCTATTAATAGTATGAACTCTTAAGTACAGGCTTTTATATAGACATATGTTTTCATTTCTTTGGGATAAATGACAAGAGACCAATTACTGGGTTATATAGTAAATATACATGTTCAGTTTGTGAGAAACTGTCAAACTCTTTTTCAGAGTGGCTGCACCATTTACATTTTCGCTAGCAGTGTTTGAGTTATCCAGTTTTTCCACATCCTCACCAGCATTTGATGTCACTATTTTTTATTTTAGCCATTGTGATAAGTGTTCAGTGACATATCATTGTGGCCATAATTTGCATTTTTCAAATGGCTAATAATGTTGAACATCTTTTCATGTGCTTATTTTCCTGATGTTTATATTTATTTGATTCCACCTAAATATGTTAAGAACACGAAGGACAGGAGACATACAGATTTGCCTTGAAAAATGAAACTCTGCTGAATTTGAATTCCAAACTCAGTCCTGGATAGAGAAAAGAGAAGCTGGACATTAACTCTATTCTTTATTAGAGTTTTAATATTCTTTATAAAGCAGGGACATTTTAGTTGAATGCAGTCACCCTTAGTTATAACAGCACTCCTTGGAGCTAAACAGAATGATTGATGAAACTTCTTTTTTATGTTTCAATTTTAGGCATTCTTTATGGGTTATCATTGTCATATATTTTATTTGGAGATACTCTGGCCTCTTTCATCTGCAGAAATCCATACATTTGCTAAAAGTACATTAATTTTCCATCTCTGTAAATGTACTTGTGAGCACTTGTTTATTATGGAAAATGAATTTACAAACGTCTTTTGTTTCATTTTTAGATTACTTTTTAAAAGGTATAATGCTGCTTAGGCTCTGAAAATAGTTAAATGCAGTTACCTTCACATTTTGTTTTCTTTACAACTTTGTTTAGTCCTCTATCTTCAAATGTTTTCCCCTTCTCTTTATCAGGTTGATTTAGTGAATATCGGAAGCACTGACATAGTAGATGGAAATCATAAACTGACTCTTGGTTTGATTTGGAATATAATCCTCCACTGGCAGGTAAGAATCCTTTTGAATAGTTCTGTTTTGGGTAACATGTTGCTAATTCTTCCTTTCATTTTTACTCTTTTTTTTTTTTTGACCTGCAAAACAAACATATATATATCTAACAATACCAAGCTCATCTCCATAGTGCTGGTTTTAAATTGGCACTATTCATATCATCTGAGATGTTAAGGATCCGAAGAATATAAAATAGGTTCTGATACATTTGCAGGAATGTTTTTCTAAATTTTATTTAATTGGTAATGGTGAGGCAAAAATTACAAAGTCTCGACCATAAGTTAATAAAACTATTTTTCATAAATATGTGTGTTCTGTAATTTGCATATAAGTGAATCTACATAGATAAAAGAAAGGTATTTTTCCTTTTAATTGCTATCAGAGGAATGGACCTTTGTTTGTCTGGTATATTCTCAATGTAAACTAATGCCTGTAAAATATTAGTGGTATATGAGTATCTATATGAACGTATGTGTTATGTACATAAACTCACTTTATAATCTGATTTAGAAATTGCAGTTTTTGAATTACCCGAGTTATGGTCTTCTGACTGTTTATATTTATTTGATTTCTGTAAAACAGATTGAAGTTTTTGTTTTGTTTTGTTTTTTTGGCTTAGGGAAAAGAGTGTATATATTTTAGTCAGGCCAACATGTATTTAAATTTGAACTTCTCCACTTACCATCTTAGTGGCATTGGGTATAATGTTATCTGTTTCTGGGCCATAGTCCCTTCACTGTCAAAAGAGAAAAAATAAAGATGAACATGTGTATATTTCTCATCAGGATTAAATGAGAAAATATTTGTAAAATACTCAGTATGGTACATCACTTTTATTTGAGATGTATCATATGAATGGCATTAATTGCCTAGAGTTTTCCACTCATAATTTAAGAATTTGGAGGATACTTGAGATATATCTGTCATCTTTTCTGGTAGGTATTACTTTTTCATAAAACAGCTTTATTGAGATACAATTTTTATAGCATAAATTTTCCCATTCTATGTGTAAAATTCAATGAGTACTAATCTAATTTAGCCCTGGTGTTCAGTAGCTTCTCAAAGTTTATTAAGGAGGGAACAGGGGATTCCTCCCAATCTATCACAATTTTTAGGATATTTTAAAATTGTACAGCCATCACAGCAATATAGTTTGGGCACTTTTTTACCACTCTAAAATGAATTTTTTTTCTTCATTTCCCACTCCTTCCCCATTCCTAGGCAACTATTAATCTATTTCTATCTTTATATATTTGCCTTCTTGGCTATTTTATATCAGTGGGATCATAACAATATGTGTCCTTTTGTGTCTAGCTTCTTTCACTGAGCATGATATTTGAGGTCCATTCCTATTGTAGTGGATATCACAACTTCATTTTGTATAGTTGACTTTTAACTTGAATTTTAAATTGGTCTTGCTAGAGTCAGATAGCATGTAGACCAGAGGTATACCTGCTTAACTCAGCAGCCTTATTGCTCTCCCAATTGGCCCCTATATATTTTTATTACAAATTCTTTGAACAGGTTTAACTCTATTTCACAGCAACATAGTAAGAGAATGACAGATAACAGAGAATAGCTCATAAGAGCCTCAAGTGAGCCCAAGTTGGCCAATTTTCAGCCCTTTCCACATAGTGATGGTGTCAAATAGAACCAGCAAGGTAACATACCCTATCTCTGACCAAACTGTTTTTTTCCTATTGCCCAGTACTTTTCAAAATATCTTGTGTAAGGAATAGCTTTTACCCTCCAATCCATTATATGTAAAATACAATAAAATGGAAGCATTACAAAAATGAAATGACACCAAAGACCCAAGCTTCCTTTTTTATTATCAAATGTGACAGATGCAAATTGTACTCTAAAATTGCTATAGAAGTTTCTAACATACTCCCAATTGGTCCTAGAGTGACCCCAGTATGCAGACCCCACTTTGAGTAACACAGATGTTGGTTGTGACAAAGCCAGCAGAGTTCCAAAGGACATTTTTGAATGTAGTTATCATTCACACTATCTTTCATGTGACTTACCCTTTTTTAATTTCCTCAAAACCCTTCCCAACTCCACCTCAACTCACTCCAAAATAGAGTTTCAAGACTATTCTGTCTGATAATTTCTTCATTTGCTTGTGAGTTATTCATTTTTTATTAGTAGTATATTGAGGAGCTTTTACACCCAGGAATACCAGAAGGAATGCTTTTTTCAGTTTTTACTTGTCTAAGAACTCTCCTATAGCCTGTTGTTTTCCATATATGTCCTCGAAGCACAGCATCCTTGAGATTGCAAGGATGTAGACTCTTCCCAGTCTCTGCCTACTTATATCTCTCTTCTATCACACTGCCCTGTTCTCCTAAAACTATTAAGCACACTTTAAAAAAAAATACTCCCGTTCAATGTGTTCTTCATTATAAGCCAGTGAATTTCAAAAGATATTTTTGCCAAAATTACATATGTGCCTTCTTATTAAATAGTAGAAACCCTTGAATCTCAACAAAGATTAAAGGACACTTTGGCCAACTTAATCAACTTTCTAGGTCTATCAGATTAAGAAC